CCTCCCACCCATGATGGCCATGAATAAACTTTGGTCTTTATACCTCTGCCTGTTCTAGTCTTCTATGTAAGTGAGGTTACACATCATTTGTCCTTTTGTGATTGATGTATTTCACACCGCATAATGCCCTCAAGCTCTGTCCACATTGTAGCATGTATCAGGACTTCATGTCTCTTTCTGGGTGAACAGTATTCCATTGTATGTGTGTATCACATTTTGTTTATCCATTCGTCCACTGATGGGCTTTTAGATCGCTTCGGTGTTTTGGCCATTGTCAATAGGGCTCCAGTGAACACTGGTGATATCTGTAACTCTTAACAAGACCATTCAGTCCATTTACGTTTCATGTATTAACTATTTGGTTTGGAAACCCAAGGAGGGGTCGCTATGAGTCAGGTCTGACTCAACAGCACATAACAACAACAACAACATGAGTCAGAATTCAACTCAACAGCAATGGGTTATACTCACTGCCATCAAGTCAATTCCAACTCACAGTGACCCCCTCTGGATTTCTGAGGCAGTAAATCTTTATGGAAGTAGATTGCCCAACCTTCCTTCCGAGGAGTGGCTGGTGGGTTTGAACCACCAACCTTCTGGTTAGCAGTCAAATGCCTTAGGCACTACCCCACCAGAGCTCCTTAATGGGTTACAGACATTGTTAATTACTGTGCAAGCTGTCCACGCCGATTTCGATTTGCCTCATATTTAAACGTTCAGTTGCTCGTCCTTTCTTCTCACATTTCCCTGCTTCCGTCTGGAATCAGTTTCCTTTGACTTGAAGAACATCCTTTAGTATTTCCTTTTATGAGGATCTATAGTGACGAAGCCTTTCAGTTCTTCATTTGTGTGTCTAGATTTCACCTTTGTCATTTCCTCCACAGTTTGAGGTAAAATTGACATATAGTAAACTGCACATATTTAAACTGTACAATTTGATGAACTTTGATACGTATATATTTATGTGGGAACATCAGCACAATCAAGAAGTTCCTCTGTGCTAACTTTTCGTTTTCATTACTATTTAGTTTCCTAGATGAACACTGATATCAAATTATCTACTTCCACACACATGGAAAATTCCACTCACTTTTTGGCTGAGATCTTTTTGAACATATAGATTAATTCACGGACAATGAACATTGTCAAAGTATTAGGCTTCCTCCCCAAGAAAGCCTTTCCTGTGATTCATATCTTTTTTTATCTACTTCATTAAAGCTTTGGCATTTTCTAAACATAAATTCTACATGTTTCTTGTTAAATTTATCCCTGCAAATCTGTTTTTAAATATTTTATTGTGTTTTTGGTGAAGGTTTACACAGCAAGTTAGGTTCCAATTCAACAATTTCTACATAAGTTGTTCTGACTTTGGCTACGCTCTTCACAAGGTGTGAACATTCCAAATATTTCCCTTCTGGTTGTTCTGTTTCCCTTAATCTAGTTTCCCAGTCCCCTTCTATTCTCATCTTTGTTTTAAAGTCTTTGTTGACTGTTTGGTCTCATATAGGTGATTTTTTTTTTTCAAAGGAGCACAGGTAATTTATAGGAGGTAACGGTCATTATCTTTTGAGCCAATTTGCGATTTAGCTACAAAGTGACCTTAAGGGTTAGTTTTGGTTCAAGGCTTGAAGAGTGGCTCAGGACAATAGTCTTGGGTAGTCCTCTAGTCTCAACAAATCCAGTAGGTCAGATTTTTGTTTTTTGACTTTGTTTTTAGGGATTTGGGGTTCAGTTCCACATTTTTCTCCCATTCCATCAGGGCCCATCTATTGTGGCCCTGAAGAACACTTGGCAGCGGTCACCAGGTATCTCTATGAATATTAATCCTTTTTTCCTTGCTATTGTCAATTGGATCTTTTCTATTTTGCTAACTGATTATTATTTTTATATTGATAAATCAAATTAATTGCCTTTTATAAAGTATTTTTTGTTCCTAGATTCCTTATGCATTCATTCTCCCTGAACTGAATCTTTCTAGCTTTATCAGGAGCTGGGAGAGGAGGGGTTGACAGGGCTAGACCTTTGTGACCATGACTGAGCCCAGCTGGGAAGACAAAGGCTGTGTGGGGCTTTCCTGCTGCCTGAAAAACGATGACCACGAGTGTGCATGTGTGTGTGTCTGTGTGCGTGTGTGTGTCTCCCTGGCACCAGGACAACTCTCCACAGGGCGGCATTTCCCAGAGGGACTGAGGCAGTGAGAACAGGATGTTCTGTGTCATAATACTCAATTATAATACTCAATTCCAGGAAAGCATTACTGTTGTTCACATTGAAAGGGTAAGTACAGGGTCTCCCTCAGAGGCAGAGGAGGCCAGGCCAGGAAACTGACCGCAGACCAGGAAGAGATGGAGATGAGGTCTCCCCCTACTCCAGCGCGTGCTGACCTGTGAGAGCCTTTTCAGCTCTCAGCTTTTATGATTACGTCACTAGGAACAGGTATCAACAAACGACACTTCATCTAGAGAAAAAGAAAAAAAAATCCATTGTGTATCTCTTTTACTTACAATGGTCCTGTCTCCATGGAGACATTGACATGGGCTTTGATTTTCAAATCCTTCTGAATCTGAGGGTTGCAGGCTTGGCTGAAATTGCCCAAGTAGATGCTGCCTGGTATTATCTCAACAGGGTATGGCTGAAATGCATCCAGTTCCTGAGGTGGGGAAGGAGATAGACTGCTCTAAGTACATTCTCCAGGGAGGTGTCTATGTTCTGAAATGTGGATCAGCAAACATGCCTTAGCCAAATGATCCCAGGTCTGTGAATTAGCTCAGACCTGGGCTTCCCACAATGATCTGCACTAGGAGACACAGAGCCAGTAGCAGCAGCAGGACTGAACCCCTCCCCCCCCATCATGGTACAGAGAGTTGATCTCAATCCTGACATCTCACTCCCCTCCACAGCCCCTATCTGCACCTGCCAGGTGTGCTAACACTGGAGTCATGTACTCAGTGGTCCACAACTGTGCAAACCCAGGGAGTGTGCAATTGGGGGTGGGCTGGGGAGGTGCAGCCCTTTTATTATACTTGGAGGCTGCCATAATTTAAATGCTTTTTAAGAAAAAACAGTAAAACTGTTCACATAGACCCTGTTTGTCATTAGAAAATGAATTCTGATGAAGGGATTGAGTATATAGAGAGGTGGGAGAACAGGACATCCACTTAAATAAAAGCTTACTGAATTTCAGGTCCAAAATTATGATAATAAAAATTTAATTTATTTTAAAAGCAAAGAAACAAAGAGGATTATTTCTTCATTTCCCAGAGTGTGGAAGAAGAAACAGTCAAAGCCAAACTCACTGCCACTGGGTCAGTTCTGAACCATAGCAACCCCCACTGGGTTTCCAAGGCTGTAAATCTTTATGGAAACAGATTGTCTCATCTTTTTTCCACAGAGTGATTGGTGGGTTCGAACCACCAACCTTTTGGTTAGCAGCCAAATGCCCTAACCACTGCACCACCAGAGCTCCCAGTCCCTCAGAATGCTGTGTGGCAAAGGCTCCAGAGAACCAAGTACCTATGATCATCTTCTCACAGAAACTCTGCATTTAGCAATGAAAGGTGTTAAGAAGTCCTTCAGTAAAGAAGTCTGTTAACTTGTACACCAACCGTTTTCTAATGTGACCTGACTAGGGACCATATTTCTCCGCCAATATTCCATGAGAAGTACTTTGAAAGATGCTGACCTATGTAATTTGAAAGGTCAAAGCCAGTTCCCAAAATCCTCTAGTTCCAAGTCTGACTCAGAAATAACATCGTCAATACCTCAGGCTACTGCAGTGACCTCCTCAGTGTGTCCTGGACCCAGCACCACTCCCCTCACACATAGCAAACCTGCTGCAAGGCCACATTCTTCCCCAGCTGCTAGCCCCAAAAGCACTCAGAGCCTCCTAGACAGCCAGTCAGTTCACAGGGACACCCAACATCCGTCAGTGCAGGCCGGCCCACTGCTTGCAAATGCAAGCTCACCCCAGAGCTCAGGCTGAGCCCACCCAGAAGCAGCCAGCTACGGGACACACAGTTTGCTGGTCGTCAGATGAACTCCCCCTAATTCCACTGGAAAAGTCTCACTGAAGACCTACACAGATCTGTCAGCTCTCTTCCTGCTGCCTTCAAACCAGCTTCCTTTACTGTGTGTGCACAGGGAAGGGGAAAGGGTGTAGCATGGATTAAAGAAAGACATGCTGTACTATAAAGAGCAAAAACCAAGCCCACTGCCACTGAGTGAATTCTGATTAATAGGAACTCCCATTGGGTTTCTAAGACTGTCTATCTTTACGGAAGCAGACTGCCCCATCTTCCTCTCACAGAGCAGCTGGTGGGTCTGAACCGCTGACCTCTGCTTAGCAGCCAAATGCCTCACCCACTGTGCCGCCAGAGCTCCTTATAAAGAGCAAGTGCACACTAATTCTAGAGGACGTGGTGTTGACAATCACATCTTGACGAGTGTAAAAGAAAATGTTTTATAAGCTTGCTGCCATGTCATCTCTGGCTCCCAGTGACCCCCCTGTGTCAAAGCAGAACCATGCTCCATAGGGTTTTCAATGGCGGATTCTTTTCAGAAGTAAACCACCAGGTGTTTCTTCTGACACACCTCGGGTGGACGAGAACCTCCAACCTTTCAGTCCTCAGTTGGCATGGCAGCCATTTGCACCACCCCGAGTCACGGTGAGAGAAATAAGTATCTCAAATTAACATGGTCAAATGGAGCCCATCATCTTCCCCTAAGCTACCTCCTCCTTCCATGCTCCCCACCTCAGTGAACTAAGCCACTGCCACCCACACCTAAAACCAGGGCATGACCCTAGACTCCCGTGGTAGTTAAAGTTATGTGTCTGGGTCTGGGTTTGAGTGGCTGGGCAGCTGTATTTAGTGATTCCCCATGATGAGACTGGCAATCAGCTCCATGGTGGAGTCTGCTGTGAGCACCTGAGTAGCTGCCTTAGGGATGTGTCTGCTTCCAGAACAGAAGCAACTTTGAGAGAGGTCTCTGCAGGTAGCCGAGTCTTCATTTAGCAGCCTGCCATGTTTCCTGCCGATCTTGGGACTGTTTCTGGGCTTGAACTAGTGGCCTACTGTGTGGCTTAATAATCTTAGGACTATGCAATGTTACTTGTCAACCTTGGGTCTGTCAGCCTCAGCTGCCAGCAGTTGCCTGAGTGAAGAGATGCCTCCAACTCCACTGGGCTGGAAGCAAGAGGCAGAGCAGAAGCCCAAAGTTGAGGGCCTTCACCCAGTCCCTAGAGCTGGCACTTTGAATTCAGATTTCTAGCCTCTTAAACTGTAAGAGAATAAATCCCTGTTGTGGAGGCCACCCACTTGTGGTGTGTCTGTTGTAGCAGCCTGGAGAACCAAGATAATTCCTTACCCCACCCAGTCCAATCAATACACTTCCTAAATATTTCTTGACTCCCTCCCCTTCTCTCTGTCCTTTCTGCCCACTCCACTGCCATGGAGTCTATTCTAACTCATAGCAACCCTACAGGACAGAGTAGAAATGCCCCATAGGGTTCCCAAGTCTGTAAATCTTTACAGAAAGCAGGCTCTCTCATCTTTCTCCCACAGAGCAACTGCTGGTTTCAAACCACCAACCTTCTGGTTAGCACCTGAGCTAATTCCTCCTGTTGGGAAAACATCCTCCTGGATGAGCTCCCTGAATCCCATCAGCCCCATAGCTCTGTTCTCCACAACACAATCAGTGCCCATCTTTCTAACATGCAATCCGACTGTACCACCCTCGGATTGAAACCACCCAAGGGCATCCACCATCTACCACTAGCAGTGGTCTCACTGCGAAGTAGTTATACATTTTTTTTAAAAAAATCACAGAACCCTCTTGGTTCAAAGTGAAATCTTATTTAGAGGATGCCATTATGTAAAACAGAGGAAGTTGTAGGCTGCTCTGTTTAAAAGGGGGGGGGGCAGCTTAGAGACCAGAGGCTCCCTTATACAGGGGGCTCCTTGGGCAGCAGTGGCAACACCCCGCTATGCAGTACACCAGAACAGGTAATAGGCTTTCACTCTCATACCTGAAATGGGGACAAAGATTCCCAAAGCAAACCTACATCCCTCTGACAGCTACCATCAGCTATGACCCCAAGTTCCTTCTTTCCAATCCACATGACAAGACGAGGGCAAGGGAAAAAAGTCATTGGTACACACAAAATGTACCCAACCGTACACTTTAAATACATGTAATTCACTGCACCTCAAATATACCTCAGTGCCACTTTGAGGACTAAGGTGCACCTGACTCAAGCCATGGTATTTTCAATTGCCTCATATGCATGTGAGAGCTGGACAATGAATAAGGAAGACTGCAGATGAATTGATGCCTTTGAGCTGTGGTGTTGGTGAAGAATGCTGAAAGTACCATGGACCGCCACAAGAATGAACAAATCTGTCCTGGAGGAGGTGCAGCCGGAATGCTCCTTGGAAGTGAGAGTGGCCAGACTTCGTGTCACCTACTTTGGTCACGTGGTCAGAAGGGACCATTCCCTGGTAAGGCAGAGGGTCAGTGAAAAAGGGGAAGACTCTCAACAGGATGGACTGACACAGTGGCTGCAATGATGGGCTGTAGCATAGCAAAGATTGTGAGGACGGTGCAGTACTGGACAGTGTTTTGTTCTGTTGTGCGGAGGGCCGCTATGAGTCAGAACGGACTCAACAGTGTCTAACAACAGCAACACAATGTCAGACACTCCTACTTGCTTTTCACCCAATGCTGGCTGGAGCATCTGAGCCAGCAGGGCCAAGAAGGGTTCACTGAGGTTGGCCTACGCCTCTTTCCCCACCACTGCATGCCCCTGATGCTTGCTAACCAGATGGCTGGCGGTTCAAACCCACCAGCCACTCCTTGGAAGGAAGGTTGGGCAATCCTACTTCCGTAGTGATACTGCCTCGGAAACCCAAGGAGGGGTCGCTATGAGTCGGGTTTGACTCGATGGCACATAACAACAACAACAAGCATGCCCCAAGGTCATTCCCGGGGTTGGCAGGCCAGGCGTGTGGGCAGTGAAGGAATGGGAACCATAGGTGCTGGGAGACTCCAGGTAGGGGTTGGAAGGAGTCACAGTAACAGACGGGGCCAAGGGAAGGCTGAACAGGGCCCCAAGAAATCCCAGCAGAGGCCACCAGCAGCGCACAGAACCAGACTGGGCCGGCGTGAGAACAGTGCACACTCCCCATCACTGACAGCAGCCGGGTACCCGAGACACCTGAGCCCGCCCACACTCAGCACGCTGCCTTGCCTGGGGCATCCAGATGATCTTCTGGGTCCTGAAGAAGTGATACATGGCCGAGAAGCGCTCATAGCCCCCTCTCAGAATGTAGACAGGGTGGCAGGTGAGGTGGGTCAGGACTCGGCCACACTCAATGGCAGCTCCAAGCACCAGTCCTAAGAGTGGAGACCAAAGAGATAAATGTGCCCTGGATGTGAACAGCCACCTTACTCTGCAAAACAATTTTTTAGGAAGCTGAAGCCAAAATGTACAGGGATGAATGTTACCATTAAAAGTTTAAAAGCAACTTATCACAAAGTTAACCTGTTTTTTAAAAAAATGTAAACTCTTTTGCCCTATCAGACATCAAACCAAACCAAACTCACTGCCGTCGAGTTGGATCTGACTCATGGCGCGACCCCTCCTCAAGTTTCCGAGGTGGTATCATTGTGGAAGTAGATTGCCCCATCTTCCTTCTGAGGCATGGTTGGTGGGTGTGAACCGCCAGCCTTCTGGTTAGCAGTCAAATGCCTTAGGCACTACGCTACCATATACTTGGATTTATTGAGATAAACTTCACATATAGTTCAACCATCTCTAGTATACAATGCCGTATTTTTAGTCTATTCACACAGTTGTGCAAGCATCACCACTAATTCCAGATATTTCCATCATCTCAAAAAGAAACCCCATACCCATTAGCAGCCACTTCCCATTCCCCTCTCTCCCCACCCATAAAAAACAAAACCCACTGCCACCAAGTCCGTTCTGACTCATAGCAACCCTACAGAACAGAGAAGAACTGCCCC